TTGAATTACACATTTTAATGACTCGCATAATGAAATTAGACGTTTAGTATTATGTTTAAGTAAATAATCTTTAATGAATAAAAGTACATGTCAGAAAGAGGTATAACTATTATAAATCTGTATCAGTCCTCACAAACCGATTATGAAAACTGTAATACTAAAGCGAACATGGCAAGGCAAACTGACGCTGTAAATTATTGAATTTTGGTAAATACAAATGTCTGATCATTATTTTCTTATTTAATGATTTATAAAACTTTCTACAATTGAATAAAATGATAAATCCTACTCAGTTTTCACTTTTGTCTTTTGTTAAAATACAAACTTTGTAATGGAAAGTGAAATAGGAAGAAGATATAGCTAATATGATCTGCTGTCCTCAACATCGCAAAAAAATTGTTTAATTACCTTCTGGTCACGGCTATCAATGATCATAACACATAACAAACATCATAACACATAACAAACAGTATTTCTTTCAGGCATCTCTTCAAGGGGGAGGGGAGGGCGGTGTTCCCGTCCCACGGACGAAATATAATTTACATAAAAATATATGCTTTTAGCCGTGTTTCAAGTGCCCTACCTCCCCCGGATAAAAAAGTCCGAAAGAAACACGGCATAACAAAGCATAGGATCAAGAGAAAATACCGACACGGTACAAAGGCTGTCATTGCGGCAATCGTCAACAATACACGATGCGGACGGACAAGGCCAACTTAGGACTGACCTACGGCAAGAATCACACGAATAACAAATAGTGCCTACATTTATTTTATAATGCTTTTCTTAGCGGGTAATAAACATGAGACGAAACTTGAGACTGTTATTTAAGTATCTTATAATATTTTTTTTCTATTTATAAAGATGAAAGTCGGGTTAATAGTTTAAATATATAAAACACCACCCGTATTAATTTAATAAACACCAACAATTTAACATTTCTACAAAAATAAATCTAAATATTTCTTAAAAAACACCTATAACTGTTGTCTGACTTTATTTCTGTGACTTTTTCGATAAACTTTTCCCTTTGAGCATTTTTTTCTGTGACTTTATTTTTGTGACTTTTTCCATACATTTTTCCCTTTAAGAATTTTTTCTGTCCCTTTTTTCCCTAGCAAAAACTGACTTTTTTTCCAGTGACATATTATGCAGGCTGCAACTAGATTTAACAAATTCTATCGAGCAGAACGATCCACACACTTGACAGAACTTTACTTGCCTACCCAGTCGAGTTTCTGGTCCTGCGCAGAACTCTGGCCTAGATATTTTAGGCAAGTCAACATTTACCACCAAGCACAGGCTACACCTGCCGGACAGGTCTAAACTAAAGATGTGCTCCCCATAGCTTCCAGTTCTGCTTTTAAAACTTGAAACATGTTTTCGTTTAAAGCCTAGATTTAAACCATTCTACGGGACAAATTAGCTACCACTCAACTAGACCAATTAGCTACCACTCAACTAGACCAATTAGCTACCACTCAACTAGACCAATTAGCTACCACTCAACTAGACCAATTAGCTACCACTCAACTAGACCAATTAGCTACCATCAACTAGACCAGGGGTCTCCAAACTACGGCCCGCGGGCCGAATGCGGCCCGCGAGGTCATTTCATCCGGCCCGCGACGATCTTTTTGTCCACTGAATACATGTTGTTTGAGGTGACTGAGGAACTTTGCACAAAAATAATTTGAAAAATGTAGCTTTGGGTGCAAATACCATTGCCCGCCGTGTTGCAGACATTGGTGAACACATCGTGACTCAAATAGCGAAATATGCAAGCAAGCTTCGCCATTATTCAATAGCAATGGTTGAGTCGCTGGACAGTTGTTCCACCTCTCAACTGCTTGTGTTCATTAGATGTGTGGATGAAGACATGAACATAACTCAAGAGCTGGCTTCCATACATAGAATGTATGCCACTTACCGAAGAGGATATCTAACCATAGGTAGTTAAGAGTTTAGTTCGCAAGATTTACCATATTTCAGTATCAGTAGGATGGCTAATTTTGCGAGAAAGCTCCTAGCTGAGCATTTAAGTTAAGAAAGGAAATAGTTGACTTCCTTAAAAGTAAAGGCAGAAAGGCAAGCCACAGCCATTATTGTCTGATGAAAAGTGGGTATAGAAATTGGCCCCTGCTGCAGACATAACTAGTCATTCAAATTTTCTGTACCTTAAACGGCAAGAGAGGGAAATCTAGTTTCTTATCAATACATCCACCTAAAGGCCTTCAGATCCAAACTGGTCATGCATTTGGAACAAGTACAGGTCAACAACTTGATATACTTTCAACAGTGCAAGTTCTTTACGGCTGAAGCAACCAATGAATTCCCCACGTCATCTACACATGATCATCAAAGACCTCCAGCTGCAGTTTCAGTAGGTTCTCTGACTTGGATTCAAAGGCAGAAGTGAGACAATTTCAAAGCCTATTTGAAGCAAATGTGGCCAATTGCAAAGATGAACTGCAGCTGGAGGTCACTGAATTGCAAGAAAATGACTTCCTTAGAGACACGTTCAAAGAAGGGCGGGTGGGTTTTATAAGTTTTTGCACAAGGATGACTTTCCTAATATTAAAACTTCTGCATCAAAGTACCTTTCAAATTTTGAAAAAACATACCTGTGTGAATAAACTTTTTCAAGAATGAAATATGTGAATGAAATATGAGAGCAAACTTGGACCTTGAGTGTGTTGTCGACCCCCGAAAGTGTTTCTTCCAGACTTTTTTTCTCTCTGGGGGGGGGGGGTGGACACTTGAAATTTGTAAATATTTCTATAAAAAATATTTTTCGTTGGGGAGGGAGGGAGGGCGGGCGGTAGACGTTCTTCGGGGGGGGGGGGGGGGCGCCCCATCCCCGAAGAGATGCCTTAAAGAAACTCTGGCCCCCGAACTGATATTTCATAGTTAATGCGGCCCTCGGGCTGAAAAGTTTGGAGACCCCTGAACTAGACCAACTAGACCAATTAGCTACCACTCAATTAGACCAATTAGCTACCACTCAACTAGACCAATTAGACCAATTAGCTACCACTCAACTAGACCAACTAGACCAATTAGCTACCACTCAACGAGACCAATTAGCTACCACTCAACTAGACCAACTAGACCAATTAGCTACCACTCACGTCGTTGATCAATAACTCTACTAAAGAAGTTGATTCTTATGATCATTGCAATGAGCTTCAAGTAGTGGTTCGAAAGCTTCCAAAGCCTATGTCACCATCATATGTTCTCTATTTAATACAAAAAAAGTTGGAAGATTATGTACCAAATGTTGCTGTTTCCTTGAGAATTATTTTAACACTTCCAGTGTCAGTGGCTAGAGGAGAATGCTGATTTCAAAATTAAAATTAAAAAAAAACTTTCTTTCGTTCAACTATTTGTCCTAGCAGACTCGTGGACTTAGCAACAATATCAATACAATGTTATTGTACCTCGACACTAGAATTTAAGGAACAATATCAATAGAATGTTATTGTACTTCGACACTAGAATTTAAGGAACAATATCAATAGAATGTTATTGTACTTCGACACTAGAATTTAAGGAACAATATCAATAGAATGTTATTGTACTTCGACACTAGAATTTAAGGAACAATATCAATAGAATGTTATTGTACTTCGACACTAGAATTTAAGGAACAATATCAATAAAATGTTATTGTACTTCGACACTAGAATTTAAGGAACAATATCAATAGAATGTTATTGTACTTCGACACTAGAATTAAAGAATTCGTAGAAACTCTTGCGAGAGGGCATAAAAAATTACATTTGATTTTTTACTTGTAACGTTTATGCAATTGATAATGAATTTATATTTCATTTAAAATGTATTGTTTTCTTATACATATTTATTGTTTTAATTAATTTGTGTAAAAGGGGACGTTTCAATAAGTTTTGCCCAGGGCGCCTGCACAAGGTGAGGCGCACTTGAATTTTTGGGAGTGGTGGCATTGTGTATAATTATATTTAACGAGAAAAAGGGCCCGTTGAGGAAGGATACAACGGGCGCTAGGCTGATAGTGCTGTCTCTTTTCTCTAAACTAAAACCACCCCCCCCCACACCCCCCCCCCCCCCAAAAACATGTCTACCGTCCCATTCAACGAAATATAATTATATACTTTTTCCAGTGTCCGCCCCCTCCCCGAAAATTCTACCCCCCGCCCCCGAAAATTTCAAGTACCCCCACCCCTCTCCCGGGAGGAAAAAGTCTAAAAGAAACACTGGTGTCGCGCTTAGCCACTACCCGAAGAATTGCATTAAAGAAATTGCAAGAAAACCACTTTTTCGATTAGACACATTAATTAGGCGGTAATTTTATTATAGAGTATCGATGAAGAAATTTCTTTTGAGTTGGGGAGGGGGGGGGGGGGCTCAGACGTTCTTAAGCGGGGATGGGGCTTAGCCCCTACCCGAAGAATTGTATGCAAGAAACTCTTCACAGCAAACCATTTAGATTAGACAAAATTGCCTTTTTATTCAATGTTTACTCGAGAATCAATGACGTCATATTACTGTGTGCACTCTCCGGCTTGAGATTATTTTCTACTCTGTGCTAAATGTGACGACGTCATACTTCGTTTTTCGAATTACTATGCATGTTTTTAATTTGCTTGTGTTTTCTCTAGAGTGTTCTTGTCAGATAGATACATAGACAGACAGCGAAACTATTAGTATTAACGAGAAAAATGGCCCGTTGAGCAAGGATACAACGGGCGCTAGGCTGATAGTGCTGTCTCTTTTCTCTAAACTAAAACCAACCCACCCCCCCCCCCCACACACACACCACCCCCCCCCCCCCCACCCCCCAACCCCCCCCCTCTCTAGAGCGTTCTTGTCAGATAGATACACAGACAGCGAAACTATTAGTATTGATAGCTTTTCTATGTCGTCCGAGAGGGGGGGGGGGGTTACGTGTTCGACTCCCCAAGGAAAGATATATGTCAAAGAAACACTGTTCGTTAGCAGCTACATGTTCGACTTGTGCAAAACGCCTACCATTTGTTGATTCTAAAAGCTTAGTCGCCGTGACCTATGACATTGACCTTGACATTTAGGGGATTGTGACTGGTGTGTTTTCGAGCTGGTGTGTGACGGCCGGGTTTAACATGGGACACTGTGCAGGTAAGTTGTCGTCTGCTTTCATGGTGTTCTCAGTTTTTTAAAGATCCCAACTTTAACCAATAGTTACTTTCAAACAGCAGATTTATTTTGATTTATTTTTATTATTTACCGTCATCAAAAGATTTACATACTTGATATTACTTTCTAGCCAGCTGAGATCTAAAACAAAAAAAAAGTAGCCCATATAATAATAATATAATGCCATATAATGCCATATAATCTAAAATATTCTAAAATCCAAAATCATTGAACTATTTAAATTAATTGAATCATAACTTCGCCTAACTCCTCTTTTATTTTGTATACTCATCTATTTGTTCTATTCTATAGAGTCGAGCAGTGCCTAGGGTATTCCGACAAACATCTTCAATTTTATTCAATGTGCATTCCCTTGTCTTAACCTTATCTTTCGCTCATACTTAGGCTACTTCTTCCTTGTAATATTGGACGGGATTTTCTACACCACAATAAAGCATTACGTGTCAGTCATAATTTTTGCCGTTCATTCCGTTTTCTGCTTGCTTTTGTTTTTGGATTTGCTTCCATAGCTTTTGTACATTTATGAACAAACTACAAGGCAGTGGCTGTTAGTTTTTGGAGTTGTCTTTCCTAGATGAGTTGCCGTCCCCAGCAATCACGAGTTTAGCCTACTAGATCACGGCGGCTCATACTTTGAAAACGGAATTTCTTTATTATCTTTAAGTACTAGAGACTTTGACTGCTGTTCGAAACCTTACCCTAACTTCTGAAAAACTGGTGGGCGACATACTAGAAAAACATTAAGTATAGGTAGATCTAATAAGTTAGTTCTGCTGAGAAAAATTGGGACAAACCTTTCTTCTTGGCCTTTAGACAAACCGGTTCTAAAAACACCTAGAGCGTTCAGGCGCGAAGTCTCATGACATGAGGCCCATCCTTAGAAAGTTTTTCCAGATTATTATCTGCCATTCTGTTGATTCTCCAACTCAGCCCACCACACCATAGGGATGGTCCCAAACTAAACTTATTTACCGTTCACTGTGAGACCTTGGGCAGAAAATATTCCTACAAAAATCTGTTACCCACAAATATTTTCACTTGAATATTCAAGTTGAATATTCTCTACATGAATTAAATGCGGGTTTGATTGGCTGGTAATTAATGTCCACCATAAACCAGATAAAAATTTCGCATATTGGCTGGTTATTGTGCGGTTAAAATAAATAGTTCGCGGTTCGCTAAATGGCTGAGTTCGAGATTTGGTCCCCAAAAAGAAATCCGAACAGAAAAAAAGCGCAAAAAAAAAATGCGTAACAGAAAAAAAAGCATACAGAAAATTGCGCACACAGAAAAATAAGCAAACAGAAAAAAGCGCAAACAAATTTGAGCACACAGAAAAATGCGCAAAGAGAAAAATGCGCAACCCAAAAAATGCGCAGACAGAAAAATGTGGTGTTTTTTTTTAAATTACTGAAATGAAAATTTCTTTTATTAACCAGTTGGGACACACAGGGAAACCTTCATAATTTGTTTTCCAAGCATAAAAAGTCAGTCAATCAGTTTGAGTATTTAATAATGTTTTTTTTTAAATAAAAATGTATACATTTTTTTTCTAAATTTATACTAGTGCAATGTGAATTCAACCTCACCCGCCATAAAAGGCCACAATATTTTTCTTTAAGACTCTCCGCTCCGTCATTAACGTCCCAAATGTATGACCCATTTGGAATGGGCAGGAATTGGGGACGGAGAGGAGGGAGTTATTTGACGTGATGATGTTAAATAGTGACGCTGTGGGCGTAGTGGAATATTGGTTTGTGTTGTACGTTGCATTCTAAAGACAATTTTCCTACGGGAAACTGGGGTAGCAAGTATACTATAATAATAGTAATTCTATAATACTAAACCTAAGAAATATTTTTAAGTTTGTATATTTATAGTATAGGTGTGTAGAAATGCTAACATGGTAAGTAGGTGTGTAAAAGTGCTGACATGGTGTGTAGAAGTGCTGACATGGTGTGTAAATGTGTAGAACTACTGACACGGTGTGTAGGTTTGTAGACGTGCTGACATGGTGTATAGGTGTGTAGAAATGCTGACACGGTGTGTAGGTGTATAGGTTGTGTGCCATTTTGTGCTTGTTGTGGGCTATTTTGTGCTCGTTGTGTGCTATTTTGTGCTTGTTTAATGCTAATGTGTGCCTGTTGTGTGCTATTTTGTGCTTGTTTAATGCTAATGTGTGCCTGTTGTGTGCTATTTTGAGTTTGTTTTGTGCTATTTTGTGCTTATTGTGTACTATTTTGTGCTTTTTTTCTGCTTGTTGTGTGCTATTGTTTGCTTGTTGTGTGCTTTGAGCTTGTTTTGTGCTATTTTGTGCTTGTTTTCTGCTTGTTTTGTCTATTGTTTATATTATTCGGAACTTACTTTTAAAAATATTTTTACGCCGTTGCGAAGCACTGACGCACAGTTGATATTCTATATACCAGCAGTGAACTGCACGCAGGTGGCGGTTACACGTCACTAGTGTGGATATGGATATTCCTTCAGCTATGATGTGGATATTCCTTCAGCATTGATGTGGATATTTCTTCAGCTATGATGTGGATATTTCTTTAGCTATGATGTGGATATTTCTTCAGCATTGATGTGGATATTTCTTCAGCTATGATGTGGATATTTCTTCAGCTATGATGTGGATATTTCTTCAGCTATGATGTGGATATTTCTTCAGCATTGATGTGGATATTTTTTTATCATTGACGTGGTAAAAAAATAGGTAATTATTGATTAGGTTCTGCACTTATGCCATCTGAACGAATTCCTAGGAACTCTCATATCAATTAATGAAAATATTTATATATATATATATATATATATATATATATATATATATATATATATATATATATATATATATATATTATATATATATATATATATATATATAACCCATCGCCAAGAAACTTTGGAAGTTGTTGCGTATACTCCTGATGAAAGATGAAAGAAGTACGGCGCCCCTGCGTACGGCATCCCTGCGTACGGCGCCCCTGCGTACGGCATCCCTGCGTACGGCGCCCCTGCTTACGGCGCCCCTGCTTACGGCGCCCCTGCGTCTTGCACAGGGGTCCAGGGCTTCTACAGTCAAACTGCACCAGGTGCATCAACGCCTGCCCTATCGAGGAGCACCCACTGGCTCCCCTGTGAGCACTATGGCGTCTACGTTCGTTTTAAAGCGCACGTACCATAGGGACACAATGGGCCACTACATTCGATGACAGAACCTGATGAAGCAGGCTATGGATACAGTCGGTTGCTGTGATTGCTCACTAAACTGAATCAGGCGCATCCGCCGGCGTCCCGGCATGGTGCGACTTGCCCATGTGATCACTATAGCGCCTACATTAGTTTGAACTAGCACCTTACAAGACACGGTGGCAAACGACAATCGATGATTAAACCGTCCCAGGGATCCTACACCGCGCCCCTGCGGCAGTGTATCCGGGGCTCGCGAGAGCGCCCTCTAGGTCACTGACCTCTGGGCGGTCGATGTGTTCTACTTCACTATTACGGTCGATGTGTTCTACCTCACTATTACGGTCGATGTGTTCTACCTCACTATTACGGTCGATGTGTTCTACCTCACTATTACGGTCGATGTGTTCTACCTCACTATTACGGTCGATGTGTTCTACCTCACTATTACGGTCGATGTGTTCTACCTCACTATTACGGTCGATGTGTTCTACCTCACTATTACGGTCGATGTGTTCTACCTCACTATTACGGAGAATGGTTAACGTACACTCAATGACCTCACTATTACGGAGAATGGTTAACGTACACTCAAGGCTTATATACAGCACGCCCTGGGGTGTTGGGCAGTAGTGTTGATAAACCCCTGCCCAGGGGCGGAACTACAGTGCCGTCAGAGCCCGTAATGCGGGGGGGGGGCGGCCGTTTAGGGGCCCACAGCCGACGTAATTAATTTTTTTAAAGTTTAAAAAAATTTAATTTTCTTGCATTTTTTACTTGATGGTTGTTTTGTAAAAAGAATACTGTAGCTGCGGTTGGATTAACTTTATTCTATAGACACCATCCCGAGTCCTCTTTCTCCAACAATCCAACACACGCTGTTGTCGGAAAAATTCTGTTGAGCGAGAGCTTCTGTATAGTTATAGTTATAGCATTGATTAGGGGCACGCAATCCATAGTGATTTTATGATGTAAAATGTTCGTTAGTTGTATTGGTAGAACTACTATTCTGTACTATTTCGGCTTTATGTACGTTTACTTCTTTTGTTTTACAAACAGATGCGATAGTAAACGTGTATAATTTGAATTCTCTCCCTTGAGTGTTTCACAATAGACTTAGGAAAAGTAGTTGAGACCATACAAGCTTCGGTAAAATTTGAGAAGTTTTTGAGTACTCATAGACCTAACATTTGTTTGAAATGTGTAGTTGAGCGCCCCGAGATCCCCAGTGACTATCTAAGCACCAGGGGTCCGCGTATTGTGTGTCCTGCACAGTGGAAGGGGATGGGTGTACTACTAGAATCATCAGTCTCGCTGCATCAGGGGCCTTCACATGGGATAGGTGTACTACTTGAATCATCAGTCTCGCTGCATCAGGGGCCTTCACATGGGATAGGTGTACTACTTGAATCATCAGTCTCGCTGCATTAGGGTCCTTCGCATGGGATAGGTGTACTACTTGAATCATCAGTCTCGCTGCATCAGGGGCCTTCACATGGGATAGGTGTACTACTTGAATCATCAGTCTCGCTGCATTAGGGTCCTTCGCATGGGATAGGTGTACTACTTGAATCATCAGTCTCGCTGCATCAGGGGCCTTCACAGGGGGGATAGGTGTACTACTAGAATCATCAGTCTCGCTGCATTAGGGGCCTTCACATGGGATAGGTGTACTACTTGAATCATCAGTCTCGCTACATTAGGGGCCTTCGCATGGGATAGGTGTACTACTTGAATCATCAGTCTCGCTACATTAGGGGCCTTCACAT